AGTAGTCGGACTTTGGCACGAACCGCCTAAATACGTACAGAAAGCGTCGCTTTTACGCGCGGATGGCCCACCTCTGATGTATCGGTCCAGTTTTGTGTGGAAACTGTTGCATCAGTCGTGATGATCTGAATATGGACATGCCTACGTGGCTGGACCTCCTCTTGTTGAACTTGAAAGGCATGCAGACAAAGCACAGCCTCCATATATGTATGGTTCTGTGGAACAGTCGAGCATTAAACTGCCAGGGTTGTGGGTTCCACACCCCGAGTAGAGTGACACCGGGGTAGAGCAAGGCATCAATGTAGTTCCTTGTAATCATCCTATTATCACCCGCTCGTAGCCATACAAATGCACTCGTTCTGCAGAACAGCACATTTGCATTAGAAAATGCCTCTATAGAAAGTAACGGTCTGTTTTAAAACGTGATGAGCTGCTGAACAGTGATTTAGTGTAACAGTATAAACGACCTCATCTGCAACAAGTTATGCAGTATGTGCTCTGATAATGTGACAGTAATGCAGAGGATTCCCCAAGCACCAGCTGATAACCAGAGTCCAGCCTCTATATTTTTGGAGGCAGGGGGAGGACACAGATGACTTAATGACATGACATGAATGTTGTCATGAGGTCATGGAGTTATTTCTGTGCGAGAGATACTGTTCTTGGATTTAGCTTATTGGAGATGAGTACACTAACTCACCTTTTTTTTATTGTACACTACGGATTGCTAACTTGCATGTTTAGAGTAGGGAGGCTCTACCTTCTGGCTGGTCACTCAAAATATATATCTATATGGTTCACATTATAGTCAGATTAACACATGAACCAAGAGCATGCAGGATGAAAGGACCGGACTGAATGCTTGTGACAGGTCTATACAGAATTTGGAGGACTGGGTGAATGAAAGAGTGAAGCAACATGTCCTGTATGATTAGGAATGTGCCAGGGAAAACTTACAGTACTGCCATAAGATTCCATAACTCCGTCTGTACATCTGCCCTCCAAATGATAAGCTCCTCCACCAGGAGTAGAGGCGGCACCCTCCAAGTAAAAGGGATGTTGCGGCGGACCAAAGTGACTGGAAGTTGAAGACAGATGTTGAATTAATTGAAACCCGGTTATTTCCACGGTGTTTTTATTTTGTTATTTTTTTTACAATGTTGATTAATACCCCTGCCTGCTCACATATCCTCATGTTGTATATATTGAGATAAATATGAAAATGGAGAAGTGCTTCGCTGTGCAGACTTGACACACAAACCTACCGGAAAAAGTAATATATAGAGAACAATAGAGGCTGTTTTATCATTAGGGCAAAAAACAAACAGACTGAGATCTCAGTGGAAAGAGGATTAAATAGCAATGTGACATTCAAAAAGTGTTACAAAGGAAGTGCTACAGTGTGGCACTTTCAATAGTAATGCTATCATTTTAATACCTTATCTTCATAAGCAAGGTCACATCTATTGTGCTTTGATATAGTCTGATACAGTTAGATAGATAGATTGATAGATAGATATGCGCGTTATTCATCCCCAGGGGGAAATTTGTATGTTACAGCAGCAAGACACACCAAGAAGCAAAGTAACAGAGTAACCAAAAATATTAAGTATTAAAAAATGCACAATATATACAATAGAATAACAGAGTAGGACAAATTAAATATCAAAATATAGAATATATAAGATAAAACAACAAAAATGCACAGTATAATGAAATAGAATAGTGTTAAATTAACTGACTAGGTGAAAAACAGTAGTGCAAAAATTAAAAATCAACCCCAGCAAACGACAGTGTAGCAGTGTGTAATTATGTGGATGATGATCTGGCCTGAGGTGATTTATTGTAAAGTGTTACAGCAGAGGGCAGGAATGTTCTCCTGTATCTTTCCTTGTGACAGCGGAGCTGGATCAGTCTGTTACAGTTAAGACTTATTCTTTGACCTGCCTGTTATTCTTTAACCTACCTGCTTTGTTTTTCAGTCATTTGTCAAGCAGTCGCTATTCAAATCCCTTGCTAAATGTTCAAAGTACACCCACAGTGCTGATTATGCTTTATATAAGTTATTCCCGAAGACTGGGTTGCAGAAGTTTTTTTTATACGGTTGCCAAATAATGATATATAAATAAATACATATCTTCCATAGTCTTTTATTTAACATTTATATCTGCAGTCCACTTTTGAGCCACACGTGGGAGCCTTAATTTTCCTATCATTCTGATTATTGTAGCTTACTTACAACAATTGAATCTAATATGACAGGATAGTGTGCATTCTGTTTGTTTTTTTACTGATGAGAGAAAAACACTCAGAGGCTCTTATCTCCGCCTAAAAGCATTTATTTGGTGTCATTTATAAAGTATTAAACATGTGTATATGTTTTAATAACACTTCGAAATGGCTAGTTTTCCTATTCAAGATAATAAAAGGTGACGTGTAAATGTCAGTAAAAATGGTCAGGAAAGTACAAATTTGCTCTTCTCGCTATTGGGAGACGAGCACTACAGTGAACCGGGTCCCCAGAGAAAAAGTTTGGGAAACACTGCTTTACATCAGTGAGCTTCGAGGGTTATGGACTTGGTCTACTTCAATGTTGCTGGTGTGAAATTAGTGCTCAAATGACCAGTTGCCAAGTCTTTTTTGTGGTGCACAGATGGAGTGAAGCCTGTGTGCAGCTATTACGCACATACAACTTGAGTCATGCTACTACCCACCTGATCCAGCCTACTCATATATCCGCCGCTCCATCTAATAAGGTGGACTATTGGCTGCTGCCTCTCTGTGTGCAACTACTACTGCTTACGTTTAGGGGCTGGACAGTAAATTAAATGTATCAAATGACTTACATTGCTCCATTTTACCAGCCCCACCTCCACGCCAGCAAATAATTCACCCTGCTCCACATTTACCCACTGGAGGGAGTCTGTTGTCATCACTCCCTGCTTCGTGCGTGCAAATTCTTGTAAGACAGACTCATGGAGAGAAACAAAAAAAACACTGCAAAAATTTCAAACAAGCTTATGGGTTGACAGAAGAGCGTGGTGGTGTATTTCTTTACTCATCTCCACAATTTGAATAAAATGACGATTGATCTGAGCAGTACATTTGAGAAAATTTCCCAGCTAAAGTGCAGGGAGGCTGAGAGGGTCAGTAGGACTCTGATTCATGCTCTTATTCTTGATGCCAAACTTTATGACATAACAAACACAACGTAGGCGTTATGCAATGGCTCTGCATCTCACCACGGCCTCCACAATCAAATGTGACAGTGATAAATGCACTGTTCGGACCTCCTCTCGCCCTCTGCATCATTAGGAAGCATTCAATGCTGCTCCAATGCGATGGCTTGCCTCACTGGGTTTTAAAGAGCAAAAATGTTTACAGTAGCCAGAGTCATATTTTGTTCTCGAAGACTCCGTTTGTCCCGAAGTTCTCCAATGAGGAGAAAAACATGAACGACAGCGCAAACCATGTTTTGCTTGGACAGCTGCTGTTTGGTTACTTTCTCATGCTTGTTAGTTTTTCTTTTGTCTTTTCTTTTTGTGGGGGTGCTGACATATGAGTGCCAGGCTGGATTTGAACTCATGACACGGTTGCATACTCATGACATTAGTATGGGCCTTAGCCAACTGAGCCACCAGGGAACCTCTGTTTATCCCTGTTTGGGGGGACAGCTGAGCCATGATTCCACTACACCACAAGGCTATATTCAAGGAACTGGTTCATCCGACATAACTATGGCCCTGGTATTGGGCATGCTAGCTCACTGGGATGACCATTACACACTAAATACAATGGGACTATAATTAATTGTAAACTATGGCATACACATTATACAAATCACCAGGGAGCTAATTAAGGGTCCACTGGTTTTCCAACTAACTTGGCTGCTTTTTAATAAATGTAGCAAGAAAAACATATTTGGGTGTGTAGTGGCTATTTGTCAAAGAGAAAAACTATCAAAACAAAACTTACACCAAAAGGTTCACTGATGCACCATTTTAGTCGGTTTGTAACTCAGGCAAGAAGTCCAATGTCCAGTCGTGATTTGCAGTTTAGGTGGATTTCCATATAGTGATCAAAAGCAAACGTTTCCCGTGCAGTCTCTCTGTTGCTCTGCTCTGGTAAAAAAACATGTCTCTTCCAGGTGCATCCCCTGACAATGACACACCTCCTACCTAAATTCCTTTAGGTAGACACATGCCCAGCCTAGTGCTCAGAGCCCCTAGTGTCAACAAAAATAAATACAATAAGAACAAATAACAAAATAATCAAACTAATGGAATAGCTCCAACTTGTGATAATTTACCATTATCATTATCTATTACCATTACTAGTGTGATTGACATAGACAGAATAGTTCAGCAGCTGGAGTTCAGTAAGCTTGACTCTGCAATTACATGCAATAACTGATTACTGATGATCAACAAAGTCAAGATTAATTTCAGTTTAGTACCGTGCAACTAGGCTGAAACTTTCCCCCCTATTTAAGTTAGAGCCTATAAAACTTTACATCTGTTTATATAAGTAAAGACTTATGATAAATGTAAAATGATCACAAAACAATTTGGGTGAGATCTATACAAGTCATTATAGTTACTCTTATTTGGGTTTCGCCCAATTATACTAATCTGAAAAGGGTCTGCCCTGCTATTTCATTTTTCTTCTCATAAAGTCCGATCAAAAACTGTGAGAAAGTCACACCTCGGTGTTTTCTGGCTATTATTTTTGTCCTTTGACCCTGTTGACATCCCTCTGAATATTCAATACATGCAGCCTGCAGTGTCACAGGTAGCGCTGCCGTGTGGTTTGGCATCTTTGCTCTCACCACGCCAACGCAAATCGATTGCCAGAAGTGTAGACGAGAAAAACTGAACTTCTGTCTTCTCTGCCCTTCAACCAATCGATAGGTCAATGGGGAAAAAGATAAAAATAAATTCTGTATCTTACTCTAGATTAACTAAATGGCCACAGTGCGCTGTGCACTCTCCCTGGTAGCCTAAATGAATTATAAATAACCATAAAAAGACATTTCCAGCATATCAAATCATTTTCACCTAATTATTTTATACTTAAATTATTACAACAAATTCAAAGCCGACCAGCGTACACCTGCCTATATTCATATGATGTCAAAAATAAAAGGAGTCGTCAAAGGTGTCATCGCGTCTGCAGCTATATTATAAACAGAACGATTAGACCAAAACATATTCAACATATTTAATTACTCCGGGCAGGGTTTTTAAATTTCCACCGTACCCACCCGATCTGTTATATGAGCCCGACCGCACCGCCTAACCCGCAAAAATACACATTAATCAACCAATCCTGAACGGCAAACCGCCAACTTTATGCATTATAGCAGCACAACTGTCAGGAATGAGGACTGGGAGACGCGTGACCTTTGACTTGGTTGATATGAGTCCATTTATTAGTCCAAAACCCAGACCAGATCAAAACCAGTTTCCCGGATGCTTACAGTCCACCAGAAGACAGACATAACGTTGACGACAGGTGTTCTTTAGAGATTGCACAAGTCATTAAATTAAACTAAAGTCAGTTGAAGTGAATCCCTAGAGCTTTTATTGAAATGGTTGGGAGGGTTTAACAAGCCTCTTGGGATTTGATGACAGCGTTGTTGTTTTTGTCTAAGCCGCTTTTGTTTACAGCTTTTGAGTTTATTGGTGCCTTTAAACATTTTTTATATGGATATCTTATTTAATTGATCGTTACCGCAGCGGTCCAGGTTTCAACATTTGCTGCATGTCATCCTCTCTCTCTCCCCCCTTTCCTTTCTACCGCTATCAATATCCAATAAAAGAAAAAAGGTAAAAACAAAAGATTAAATGAATACATGTTGCTTTGTGTGTAATAGGTAGACATTTTCTGCAGAAGTTTATGCTCTCTGACTACTTATTAGTTAAATGTTTGTATTATTCATAGCCAAGTGGAAATAACCCTCTTAATCTTTGTGTTTCTCCAAAGGTAACATTATTGGCTCTGGGATATTCATCTCACCTAAAGGAGTATTGGAGCATGCAGGCTCCGTGGGGCTGTCACTCATCGTCTGGGTTTGTGGAGGGGGGATCTGTGCCCTTGGCTCCCTGTGCTACGCTGAACTTGGTGTCACTATCCCAAAATCTGGAGGAGACTATTCATATGTGACAGAAATCTTTGGAGGGCTAGTAGGGTAAGTACTGTTTTGTCCAGTTACCCTTTGTTTATCTTCACCGGGAGGATAATGCAATTGTTCACATATTAGTATGTGAGTGAGTGAGCACGTCTGTGTCTGTCCACAGCTAATCTCACATTCTGCAGCAGCAAACAGAATATTTTGGGTGGCCAGCTATGGCAGCATGCTCAAGGACCTCTCGTTGACATTGACAGCCTTGTGACGCCTCACTCACCGCTCTTAACCGGCCCTCATCCGGTAGACCCCACAGCCACTACTCTGTGCCCACAGTGGAAGGATAATGTGTTTGGCTAACGGAACTGCCAGTACTCGCACAGCTGCGTACCTTTCGGTCGCTGCTCTGCAGCTTGCCTACCTTTATTGTTGTGGGCCGTGTGTTTGGCTAAATGCCAACAGCCAACGGAACTAACATTACACACACACTGCTGTACCTAGCCATAACTCAGCCGCTGCTGAGCAGCCAGACAGCTTGGTGAGTTTGGCAAGATTGTATGAAATGTCTTATACGACGCCTGACTTCGAGTCAGTTGCCTGTAAACGTCGCTGCTCGCTTTTGAGTTTGAATGTGTTTTACGACGCCTGACAGCCCATTGGTGTTGTATTCATTCAATCGCACAATACAGCAGTGGTCGCTGCAGACACACCCGACAGAGATCTGTATGCTACTTAGTGCAAATTTATAATTAACACTCTGTGCCTAAACTACAACAGCAGTTTGTAGTTCAACATCTTTGACAAGTTTCATGTCGAGAGTGTTAGATTGCAGCACTTGTACTCACTTGGTATGGATTAAACTGCAACAGTCTGTACACAAGAGGTCTGCCTGTCTGGAACAAATAAGCCCTGAAGGTCTTGTGACTTTCATTTGATCATGCGACATGTCAGCTGATAATAGAGCAGCACTGTAAGACTGAAAAGGTCAAATATGCCTAGCACTGAATGCACTAGTTTAGTCCTGTGTGGCTCATTCAGTTGCACATGCACAGAAGTGCAAAGAAATAATTAAAAAAAAATAAAATTAAAAAAACACACCAAGGTCACAGTAAGATAAGGCACTTTATTCTGATAACAATTTGCTACAATTTCCATTCGCTGTATAGTGTCATTTTCACTGTCTCCTCATGTCTGAGCAGGAGACCAGTCTCCTATAACTGGTGCCAAGATGCCTTTGAGCAAGTCACCCAACTCCAACTGCCGCAGTACAGAGACCAAGAGCAGGAAACTATGGTTGTGCTGGGCAGCTCTTATGTACAAGTGTGACTGCGAAGTCAGAACGTAACTGAAAGAGAGCAGCAAGAGCTCCTCGCCTGTCCAAAAACAGTCCACCTCAAAGTGGTACTTTCACATACGAAATCCCGTGCGTTTTGTCTCTTCATCCCGTAGCTTCCTGTTGTTATGGAGTGCCGTCCTCATCATGTATCCGACAACGCTGGCTGTCATCGCGCTCACCTTCTCCAATTACGTCTTGCAGCCGGCCTTCGAGGACTGCCTGCCACCGTACATCGCCACCAGACTCCTCGCCACCATCTGTATCTGTGAGTAACAAACATAGAAAACACTCTGAAAGTCACGATGTGTTTTAGTTATGATTCATGAGCTCTTTCTGTTTAGTCCATTTTTGGTTCTTTGCTATGAAGATTTCTTTCCAGAGATCTGCCAATCAGTGCAGGTCCTTTTACTCACTATAAACCATATGCAACATCACACATTCAATTCTTCAAACACACTTACGTTTCCTTTTAAGCCTACGTTTCATTTTAAGCCTTGCATGTCCTTATTTGTGAACTGTGCCACAGCAATACATTAAGTGTAATATAACCTCGCAGCTGGGAATGTCTTACCTTCCACTGCAGGAACACAGCAAATGTACAAGCTTTCATTAAGTGGGTGTAGGCAAGATCACTATTATGTGACAAGAAGAGGCACAACAAACAAAGGTCAGAGATTAACAAACTGATTCAATCAAAGACTTGTCACAGTGTGTGGTGGTGGACTCGAATGCAGGACCAGAGGTAGTGAGAAACAGGTTTTAATGAGTAGTGAACAAAAACAGGAATCGTTACCAGAACACAACAGGGAGTCCAAGCACAAGACAAGAAATGAGGGAGAAAATCTGGCAGGGCAGACTGGAAACCCGGGAACTGGACGAGCCGGGCAGGCGGATAGAAATGGCAATGATCTGGCAGTGAGTGACTGAGAGGCAGGCGTTTATAAAGTGGCTTGAACAGGTGAGGGGAGTTGTGCTGATGAGGAGGGAGTGCTTGATTAGTGATCAGAGGCAGGTGAAGGGAGTCAGGCTGATGATGATGGAGTGACTGACAGGTAAAGACTGACAGGTAGAGTGAGGAGGGTGTGGAGCTACACAAAGACACACAGAACACAGAAGGCAAAGACTAATCGTGACAAGACTAGTGACGCTCTAATGATTTTTAGAAAAAACACCATTCTCATGGTAGCTCAGCTTTCCATCCAGACGATTGTTAGCGTAGCATAGCATAGCATAGCATAGAGACTGGCAAAACTATTCACTATTCCTTGGAAGAAATATTTGACACACAGGGCCCCATCAAATAAGTTTAATGTTTTTCCAGATTCCATTAAATTTTTTCCCAAATTCAATGATTTCCATTAAAATTTTTCTGAATGATGTGTTTTATGATTTAAGCACATTTTCATCAGAAAAAGTGTCACATCAATGAATTTGATGTGACACAATATTGTACTATTTGTTTTTAATCAAGGAAAGTGATTCAATGTAGTTATAAAACAAAACAGTCCATCCTTTTGTAAAACAAAGTGCTTTAAATTTAGCTGCTAGTGTCGAATTCCTCCGTTTTTTTGGATGACTAACAGACGACCCCTCCCCCAAGGTTTACTTTGTGTCTTGCGCTCCTATTGGCCTCCAGGAGGCATCCCGATCAGATGCGCAAAGCATCTCAGCTGGCCCCTTTCGATGCAAAGTACCAGTGGTTCTACTCCGAGTTACCTCCGGATGTCTGAGCTCCTCACCCTTTCTCTAAGGCTGAGCCCAGCCCCCCAACAAAGGAAGCTCATTTTCGGCCCCTTGCATCTGCGATCACATTCTTTCAGTCACTACCCAAAGCTTCTGAACGTAGGTGAGAGTCTCAATGTAGATGGACTGGTAAATCGAGAGCTGAGGCTCAGCTCCCTCTCCAACCTAACCTTCCGGTACAATCCCCACATTACTGCTGAAGCTGCACTGGGTCTCTACGCCTAGGTCCGCGTCTTTACCTGCCGCCCGGCTCACAATGCACCCGACCCCAATGCCTATCCCTGCGAGTGGTGGGCCCTTAGCGCAGCTCCATGTAGGTTTTAGGGCTGTTCCCGGCCGAGCTTCATGTCCCAAGGCCCGGCCACCAGAAGCTCGCCGAGACCTACCAGGAGATATTGCCCCCGATAACTCAGCTTTCACGGTCACTGACGCACTGAAACCCCTCCACCATGTTAAGGTGGCAATTCATTGGAGGGTGAAAAATGCGTATAATGGTAGGGAAAACCCTGATTTTCCTCATTTTGTCAATTTCCACGATATTCAGCATTTTGCAGAATATTATTTTTAAATTCAAATAAAGAGATTCTGCACTTGTTCTCAACAAAGAACGGAGAAGGTCAGATTACAACACACACAGAGGGAGAGTGACTTCATTCTCTACTCAGGTACACATTACTCCACTATATCATATCACTACAGCATTTAGTTGTTTCATGCTTTATTATGATTCTAAATATCATATATAGAACATTTAAACCAACAAATATAGTAGAGCAAAGGAAAACGCTTTTGATTTTTGATTGACTGTTGATCCGTTTCTACCAAAAGCTAATCCCAACCTTTCCTAACTGAAAATCTGGTTGCTGTGGGCCAGGTGAGTCCGGTTGATTGGCTCACAAAAATGTGTGTAAACAGAAGAAGAGTCATTGATGGAATTGTTGGTTGTTTGCCTGGAGAAAGTAGTTTCAGAGCATTCCCTTGGTGTATTGATACTGTGGCTGACTTTTTAACATTCCTATCGGCTGCTCACTGCGGGTCTCTGCCTCCGCCACCATGACATCCTGGTTCAAAGTATCACACATCAGACCTTCTGCTGCTTTAGATATCCAGGTCACCTGACTGTATGACCCAGAGTGACGCCCAGTGAGGAAAATATCAGAGCAAACTTCCTTTCCTAGCAACTGATCTTAGGGTAAAAAGGTCAGAGCACACTCGATTAAAGAAATATTGATTGAGCATTGAATGATGGTAGATCATAAAAAGTGCTGGTAAAACAAATGAGAGCAAGGAAAAAGCACAACAGGTCCCTGTTTAGACAAATCTGTCCATCCAGCAGGATAAACCTGAGCACCCAGAGACCAACGTGTTGGGAGTGAGTGGCTAACTTGGTGGGTAGAGGCTCTCTAAATGTAAAGCAAGGGAAAAGCCACGTAACTTGAAAGGCTAAAACAATCTCTGCAAACCAAATCCAGCTACTTTCATCTCATGCCTTGAAGATATTATGATACTGTGATAGTTCACAGTGTGCTGACGGCTGTCATTGTCATTTGAGGATTCCTTATGAAACGCTGTGATCTATTTCCAGCTTCTAATCTGACTAGCGCCCTTCCTTGAAATATTGTACAGTACAGGAATCTGTATTTTAATAGCCAGTGGCGAAAGCAGATTGTGCATACATCTGTTAGGCATGCCAGCCAGTTTGGTCTTGTCTGAACTGGATGCAGAAACGGGGGGGATGGACGGCAGAGGGCTGGGGATCTGTGCCTGAAACTGTGTGCAGGTGCCTGGGTTTGCATTTACAGAGCACGCTGGTGAACTGCCACTATTTTGGCGACAGAATATTACAACCGAAGGGGCCCACTTTATGTGTGGTGTTTTTATGTGTTGTTCTCTTGAGTGTGGCACGAGTTTGTGTGCGTGTCAGTATCAGTGTCAGACTATATAATGGTGCCAGCCTTTGTGGACGCCGCTAATGAGAGGGTATGTCTACGCCATTGTGCATTGTTTCACAGTGGTTACCATGACGCTCCTGTCACGGAGCACCATGTAAACAGGAAATGGGCAGGACACCTTGCACATCGATGATGGGGAATCCCATTGGCCAGCTGACATTCTGGTTGGATGTTTGATGTTCCTATTGGCTGCTTGGTAACGCCTCCGTCCTCCTCTCTGGTCCACAGCATCACACTTGAGACCTACAGTGAGATTGTATCTGGGACCAGCAGTTATATAAGTTTCAATCAGTGTGAGTGAAACTTTATTAGCGGGGAAAATGTCCAAAAATGTCCGCTTCCACAGCATCCTGATAACAAATGGGGAAGGTTTTCCTCTGAACCCGTGGATGATAGAAACATTGACAGTGTACGGTTTGATAAGTCTTTTCAGTATTGCTCCATCATCCTTAAACACCAACAGCAGACATGTCACTCCTCTAAAACTGGTGGTGTAAACAAACTTTTAGTTAGTTATCACCACCTACAGCCTTTACTGAGAGAAGATGATGGATTGCTGTTTTAATTCAAAGGTAACTCATCCTTTTAGCCTTTGGCTTACACAACTCTGCGTTGAGTGAGTCACTCTGTAGAAGTGTTCGGGGATAAATTGTTAACATTTTTCAGCGTTTGGTGGTTTGTCTGAAACACTCAGTGAGATTAACCGGATCAAATGTTGTTCTGCATTGCTGAGTCTTATTGAGGCCCCTGTCGTGTCCACTGAACTTTTCTTCGTGACAGGTTGGTTTATGAATGTGAGTCAGCCTAGATATGTGTCCCACCCCCCCCTTCTTTCTCCCTTGTGTGTGCGCGTGTGTGTATTTCAGAAAACCAGACCTGTCCAGTTGTGGGTTTGTAGTGTTCTTCTAATAATAGGAGCACTGACAGCCCACAGCAGCACAGTCATGCGCCTATTTCAGGAGATAACGGCACTTTATTCTGTCAAACGTGGATCACTTTAACTAGATACAAATCACCAATCTGCATGAAGTACCTGTTCCAGTAATGAACAATAGAATATAATTAATTTATGTAACATCATACCCAACAATCACTCAAAATGTGATAATGTTTTTCTTTTCAAAGCACGAGGGATACACGGCCTGATTCTCTCTTAGTTGTACTGAGGAGAAACAGCAGTGATAGTGACTGTTGTCCATTCCAGTGCAGCAGGGAGCCAATTTAGTCACTTGTGTGCCACATCGGTGTGGTGGTGCAACAGCCAATCGGATGTTAAATGTTGCCCACTGGTTTTGATGGATGACTTTGAAATATTCCGTAAAACAACCCTAAGAAATTGCGCCATTATTCTACTGAAAAAATGTAAACTTATATTTCATTTAATGGAAGAAAATGATTTTACATTTACAAAACAAGAATTACCACCTCACAGTTCACATCCATGTCTGTCCAAATGTCTTCCTTTCATAATTTTATTCTATTACACATTTGTGTGAGATTGTCATAATTAGCATTCCCTCAAGCCGTTCCTAACAAATAACAAATAGATACAATAAAATTAGTAGATATAATTCGACCTTCGATGTGAACTGCCAGAAGTGTAATGCCTTTCACAGGCACATTGTGTACTGTTACAGCCCTCCGTACAGTCAGAACGATACAACTATGGGCACAGGGTTGACACAGTTCACATGCTAAGGATATAAACAGACATCATGCCTAAGTTACTCTTTAATGTGGTTGAGTGACTTCAATTTAATGTTTGCAGTCCTAGACTTCCACAGATTCCCTTTCCACATGTTATATTGGATGCTGCACAAACCTACTTTGAATTTGATTGAGGGAATGTGGTCTGACAGTAGACTAATAGCTACAACTAAACAAGAAGGAAATCGGGGGATAAAGTGTTCATCCAGCTTGTTCACATTGCCAACTCCTCACATATGGACGTCTGGTCGTCAGGATCCATTTAGGTTTAGGCAACAGAACTACTTGGTTAGAAACCTGCCAACAAAAACAATGATGAATGTCACTGTGAATCTGTTCCTGTCAGATTCCTACATAGGGCAGGTCTTACCAAGAAAAAAAGTGGGTTTCATAATCACGCACCAGCTTGCTGTCGCCATGTTGAGAGCCGCTGGGAGGCAATCAAAATACTCCCAATCCTGTATCTTGCACCTGTAAGTCTGAATGGAAGTTAAATAAAGACAAATTAACAGTGATGGCTTGGTGCAGCCTTCCTTTTATACCCCTACACTACATCACTGACACTTACTATGTTAGTTGTCAGCATGTCTTTGACCCAGACTTAATCCTGTAGATTTACTGTAGTCTGAGGGGAGTCTGGAGTCAACTTGTGGTGGACAGACAGGACTGAGGGGTTATTGCCACTTCAGTGACTCCTGTGACCAGATCCTGAACCGAGAGGAGGCGTTCCTGAGGTTAAAGCCCCCTGATGAATCTGCACGAAGTTGGGTTCAGAATTCATTAAGAGTAAAAGCAGTAATTAGTTTAGTATTCTAGTGCTGGGGCAGCCTTCAATAGAAGCTGTGATGGCAGGACACAGATTTACCTGCGTTGTCGCATTCAAAGCCTGCTGGCACCTCCTTCCTGTCAGGGTTAACATAGAGGAAGTAGGGGGAAGAGGTGGTGGATGTGGTGGGGGGCTTCACGGGAACACAGGAACGGAAATGCATGCAACACCCCAAGGGTGACTGACTATAAAACACCGCGGTGTTGTAGGGGAGAGAAAGCTCTGCCCGGTGCCACCGATACGTCCTGCCAAAAATTCACGTGTGTGTGTGTGTGTGTGTGTGTGTGTGTGTGTGTGTGTGTGTGTGTGTGTGTGTGTGTGTGTGTGTGTGTGTGTGTCCGCTCCAGCGGAAGCAGTTTGTTCCGATTTCTGTGGTGGGAGGGAAACCTTGCCCCGGTGATGGATGACATGGTCGATAACACCCTTCACCCATATATGCACACACACACACACACACACACACACACACACACACACACACACAC